TTTTACCAAAATGTTGAGGGCTGTTTGAGTTGGTTGCACAGTAACCTTGGGCAACACTCCGGGGAACCGTGTATGTCTGAGTAGCACACGTGTATGTGTATTTAACTGTGAATTAAAAACCACCATATCTTCTGGGTTTCAGTCCAACATATAAAGAGCTTGGAACTTGTACTACCTGTAAAGCACTATAGTGTTATTTGCAAATGGATTTGGATTAGTTGTAAATGTGTACTGCAAACTCCAGGACAACTGCTTAAAAATAAAAAATTGACGTAAAATTGATATAGTAAGAGAGGAGAGAAGATGGAAGGATATAAAATGCTCACAAAACCAGAAAAGGCAGAAAAAGAGTAGAAGACAAGAAAAACAAAAAACAAAAAGCCAGAAACAAAGAAAAGGTCCATGAATGAAAACAGTAACAAAGATGCCAGACACTAATCCAACCATATCAATCATCACTTTAAATGTGAATGGTCTAAGCGCACCAATTAAAAGACCGCGACTACCAGAATGGATTAAAAAAACAAGAACCCAACTATATATTGTCTACAAGAAATCCACTTGAAATACAAAGACAAAGATAGAGTTAAGGTAAAGGGATGGTGAGAGATATGCCATACTCATATTAATCAAAAGACAGGCGGAGTAGCTATATGAATTTTAGAGCAGACTTCAGGGCAAGGAAATCTACCAGAGATAAAGAGAAGCATTACGAAATGATAAAGGAGCCCGATTTCCAAGACATACAACCCTCCATGCGTATATTCTTAATAACAGAGTAAGAAAAAATGTGAGGCAAATACTCACAGAACCTGCAAGGAGAAACAGATGAACCTGCTGTTACAGCGGAGCCTTCCAACAGCGCTCTCTGTCACCGGCGGGCCCGCAAGCAGAAAACCAGCCAGGACATAGCTGAACTGAACAGCACCATCAGCCAGCCGGATCTAATTGACATTTATAGACGACGATATCCAACGATAGCAGATTACACATTCTTCTCATGCTCACGTGCAACATTCACCAAGAAAGGCCACATTCTTGTCCAGAAAACACACACACTTAAAAGAATAAATGCCGCCGTGTTCCTCAGTCATTATGTTCCCCTAAATAACAGGCACTATTAACCTGCATTAGGTGCTGGCCTGAATCTGAATGTATTTTACGAGCCATGGAAAATGAAGCAGAGTTCATCTTTAAACGAGCAACAAAGTTAGACAATTTACTGTGAATTAATGTTTTGCTGCCTACTTAAAAAATCCCTGAACCTATCAATCTAAAGAAATGGTAACAAATGCACTTGAAATTGTTTTTGCTTTTTGTTTTCCAGAACCAAACAGGCTGTGAGTTTTTGCAGACCTGCAGACTCACCTGCACCTGTGCTGTTCTGTTTTCCTTCCTTTGCACTGTGAAAATATCCTCTCCTCCCAAGGCCAGTTTGCCCATCACACTCTGAATCCCAGCCCCCCTCTCTTTCTTCTCTGGTTTCTACATTATCAATACCCACCTCCACCACTCCACGGACCCCCCATTGGCACACAACACTGACACCCATCATTTCCAGTCAGCAAATGAAAATAGACACCGGGGTAAATTCGAATGCCAGGTAAGCAACAAATAATATTTTCGTGTGTGTGTCCCATGCACTATTTAAGACACGCTTAAACTAAAAAAAATCTATTCCTGGTTTATCTGACATTCAAATTGGGCGCCCTATATTTTACTGGGCACCGCTATGTCATCTACCCTACACCCCCACCTGCCAGTTACCACCTTCTCCGCCGCCCTTCTCAGCAAAACATCAGAAGCGTTGGCTGAATTCGCTGTTGTCTCCATTCCCATGGCCTAGTCTTCGCCCCCACTCCACTCGAGCTTCTTTCTCCAGCACCCCACTGAGGCTGCTCTTGTCAAGGTCACGATGACCTCCATGCTGATTACTGACGGCCTCCCACTGGAGCAGGAGCAGGGGGCCTGTCTGTCCCACTCCCCGACGCGCGCTAAATTCCCAGGGCTTATGCCCACCGCACATCTGTACTGAATGAACATGGTTAAGGAACGCCTTCACGCATCATCATCACCACCGCACAATCTAGTCAGTTTTCAGCGAGTTGATTTGCTGCTGCATGAGATTCTCAACGCCGGAATTAAGATCCTTCGCAGTTATGCACAATAAAACATGTTCTGACTGGACCTCTATAAACCATTCGACTTCATTCATCACTGCCTTTCCAAGACATACGAAACGGCATCATCTTCCCCCTTGGTTTTATGGCATAACCAAACGTTACGGAGCACTTCTCAAGGTCATGGTGTCACTGTCCTCCGGCAGTTAGAAAACGCCGCCCACCCTTCCTTCCAGGTTATCTCCCGCACCAAGTCTAAGGCCCTCTCCCTGCCCTTGTCTGCTTTGAATCCAAATCAACAGCTTACTGCGAGATCAATTAGAAAGCAAATCTCCTGACCAGTCCCAATCACCAAACAAGATTAAGTTGGCTACTTATTAAAAAAGAAAAAAGAACAAAAAAAAAGAACAAAACTTACTAAAAGTTTGATTGCAGTATCTCTGATGGTGGAGTTCCAGTGGTTTTTATTCCCTTCTTTTTTGCTAATCTGCATTTGGACCAGGAAAGGTAGAGCGAAAACGGTCAGGATTAATGGGCTACATATAGTCATATGATGTTCTGACTTAAATTTGGCTCATTAGATGTTTTTAAAAACTTGATTCCTAATTCGTGTCTCACAAGGAACCCAGGCAGAACAGTACCAGGGAAATACAAAACAGCTATCCAAACACACGCAGGCTCTTGGCCTCAAGTGCAGCAGTGAGTCCTCTCGTCTCTCAGAGTCTTAGGAGGACCTGAGGGGAATCCTGAGCTCTGCTAAAAACAACGTCCCTGCGGCTCTTCATAGGTGGCCACGGTGCAGAATGGCTGTTGGGGGGGCGGAGGGGGAGTTTAACATCCCCTTGCACTGAAACGCAGCAACCCCATTTTAGCTCCTAAGCCATTCTTTTTAAAAAATTCTTTGTACTAGTATTTCCTTTAGAACCATCTCAGGATTTTAAAAATGCTGAAATACAATAAAATGCTGAAGGAAGCCACTTATTTGCGGTATATCATCACATCACAGAATCAAGATCTAAGTCCTTAGGCTAATGCGTGTTCAACCATCCAAGACCCAGCCACTCTAAACCTTACAATGTGAGTTTTCCAGAGATGTTGTTTTACGCGTCTGTAATGCTATCCTTTGGCACAAGTACAACAAATAATAGTTTAACTACACAAATGTGGATTATCTAGACTTGGGGCCATAATTTTTCAAATCCCCAACGCCAGAGAAAGCAAACACCACCCCTCATGAACTCCCCAGAAGGGTGTAAACAAGGAAAGCGTGGGGGATCTTGGAGGAAGAGAGTTAGCAGATAAATAGTGCACGATCCAACAACAATCAAAACATTTCATTAATCTAATTCCAGCACTGCAGAAAAAAAAAAGAAAAAAAAGAGCTGTCTTCATATTTGCTATTGTTTATGGTTAACTTGCCTTAAGCTGTGCTTGGCAGGTGCAACACTGAACAGGCCGAAGAGGGTTGTCCAATTATGCCAACTATGGTTTAAACTCATATGCACGTCAGCTCCGTATTGAGGCTCCGGGCGTGGGAATTCAGCCTGACCTTTCTTCTCAGCCTTAGCTGCTCCTCGTAACTCCCTGTTCTTTTACCATTTCGAGCCTATTTACATCGAAGGCATATAGGATCCCTTAGGGGACCGAGTTGTACCAGCCGGCCTACACTGTGTTGCTTTTTGTTTTCAATCTAAAGCTGTATGAAACATAATGTAAAGATATATTAAAACGGTCACAATTACTTCCTCAGCTCTTTCTACTATCTGACCATTGTGTGTATACGTTGTTTTTACATTATTTTCCCTTCAAGGGTTAATTTTTCTTTTTGTCAAATGTGCTTAAACTTTCAGAATAGCCTATTCTGTTCTTTACTGGTTTTCTTTTTTAAACACTTGAAACATACTTTCTTTACAGTCTCTTTCATAGTGGTCTATTTTCTTTCATTTTTAGGTTCAAATTCTCCTTCTGGTTGATCCTTGGCCCTAAAGTCTCCTTCATGAAGGTTTATTTTCAGCCAAGACATACAACTGTTAATTGTGGTTTCGCCATCAGCAGGAGCTGGCTGCCCTGAGAAGTATGGAAGGTTCTAGGTTGTGGATGCCCAGGGCAGGCTCATATGAGCCTCAGGGGTGGGGAGGAGGCTATGGGCTTTACCTGGGCCAGATTAATTTGTTTCCCTATTTTTTTAAATTTTTTCCCAATTTTTAAATAATTTTAGATTTAGAGAAAAGCTGCAAAAATAATGCAGTGTTTCTATATACCTTTCCTATAGCTCCCCCTAATATGAAAGTCCTGAGAGCCACAGCAAAGCCGGCAAAAGCAATAAATTAACCTTTGCATAAACTGGTAACCACACTATGGACTTTATTTGGGTTTCACCACTTCCCCACCCATTACCTTTTTGGTGGTTGTGTCAGGATCCTCTCCAGGGGTCCATGTTTCATTTCGTTAGGTCCCACTGTGTTTCACAGGCCCTTTGCTTTGCTCAGTTTCAAGGGGTTCTTATTTTCTTGGGTTTCGTAAGTAGCTCCAGGTTCACACTATTACCTTTCCAGGTTGTCCAGACTTTGAACTTCTCATTTATCTTTCTAGACTGTAGAGTCCTAATCTTTTAATTCCAAAATGAATCTGCCCTCAGTGGAAGCACTGATTTGATTAGTGGGTAGTAGAAGGGAGTCGCACCAGCCAACGTGAGCGAAAACAATTCTGCCAATTCCACACACTAAATAGATGACTTTCAAGTCAAATGCTTGGAAAATGAAAGTCCTAGGTTTTCTCACCAGCAACACAAAAATTAGAGAATGGAAAAAAAAAAAAATCATCTCATTCAACCTGCACATTTTATGTCGCGTTGCAAAGGAAATAAACAGAAAATACCGCTTGACACCAATTCGTAGCATTTATTGACATTTCCATTTAAAATGCTAGGAAAGCTGTATAAATTGTAAACATGGAAACCAAACACTTGCATAAATTATTTCCAAAACTCTACAGCACATTAGAAAACAGTGCAGCTAATTGAAGGGTAGAAACATAACTGACAAAGAGAAGGAAGGATTCAATTACTAAATCATAGACCCATACCAAAATTTAAGTGCCCGTTTGAGACCAGCAAACCATGATTGTCAAGTTCAAGTTGCAGTACTGATGCCACGAGTGGCCTCAATGTACTCTGCGTATTTTCGTACATTAACACTCATAATCTCGGAATGAGAGTGCAGGGAGGGTCAGGAGAATATGGACCTTGACAAAGTAGGAGGGGACAAGTGGGCATCCCAGGGCGGCTCTACTAAGCAACCTTTCCTGTAAGGGTAAGGCTAGCCCGATCTGCATGCTCCCTGGACGATGCTCTGGAGGAGAGCAAAGCTCAGTCTACTCCCCTCTTCTGAAATGAGCCCTCTGGTGTTTAGAGCAACTGAGTTCGTTGGTGGAGCTTCCGATCCTCTAGCGCCTCCTTCCTTCCCCACATCTGTAGGAACAGCGCAGGGGTCCGGCTTGAACTCGAGCCTGTACTATTCCTAACTCAGAGGGTCAAGTTGTGAATGCATGAAATCTGGTGGGCATGAGGCTCCAAGTTGTCCAGAACGGTTGCACGGAATCAGGGCCTACAAGACCAAAATCGCTTACATCTCTCTGGCCCTTCTCCCTTCCCCCCTTTAAATTCAAAGTGGCCCCCGGAGCAGAAAAACCTGGAAAAGCAAGCCCCCTGCATCAGGATCTACCCTGTGGGAAACTAACTTGGACTAGAGTTCCTCAGTTTCAGACATTCATTCCTTCTCACTTGCTGGCCGCCGGGTTCCTAACTTTGTTTCGTGTTTCCAAAGGCATTTCAATGTTCTTTTCCTAAATTTCAATGCTGCTGCGTGTTCTTAAGATCAACTCTCAAGTGTACCATTACACACACACAAGCATGGAGTTAGGTTCGTACCGTGAGGTTTCGGTTTTCAAGTCTTTTTAATACAAAGGAGTCCTCGTTTAAACACTGAAAATCATCTCCAAAAATATCAAAAGAAACCTGAAATGTACACACTCCTAGTTCACTACGTACTAAGTGTCGGCCTATGACATTTTATGAATATGTTACAGCAGCTGCTCGTAGAAACCCCTCTCACCCGTTACAAGAATATGTCAATGTGTTGGATTAAAGGTAAAAACGAAGTTCAAGTTACCATCCCAGAAAAATGGGTTGTGTGGCCAATGGTCTGTTTGCAGGTATGAGTGGACTTTCTCCCACTCCTGTCTGGGACGAATGCAGACAAGCAGGCTCTGGAGGCTGGCTTTGGAGACTCGCTCTGGAGGTAGAAATGAAATGGCTAAAATTCAACTAGAGCTAAAGACAGTGTGGTAGTTAAGACTAGAGGTGCCCATCCCCCTGCCCAGAACCGCAACCAGCTTTCCTTCCAACCAACACACTCATTCATGTCTAAGAATCTAGTACGAAGGGGATAGAGAAGTTTATTTAATGATTAACTCGTGAGTTACCGCAAATGCCAACCAGTGTCCGAGTGATTGGTCTGGTCACTGGAGCAGTAAGAAGCTGTGCAGTGCAGTCAGCGCTGACCCTGCTCACAGGTAAACAGAGGCTCATAAAGCACAGAATTGCTTGCTTCAGCCCACAGCCCTCAGGCAGACCTGCACCTGCGCTTTGCACACACCTCATGCCCTGAAAAGTCTGACTGGCAAAAAACCCACTTAGTCTGCTGCTCAAAACCCATGTGCCACCGAAATCAAAACATACTCTGAGATTAAATAAAATTGGGAGAAAAACATGTAGGTGGCTGTTAAGAAGTCAAATATATGTACTTATAAACTATTATGCTACACTAAGGATTCAATGTGGCCCAATGGCGGGCCACTGAGATCCACTCTGAGCACTGGAGCAGATGGTGGCGTCCTTACCGCTATTTTCATGCTTTACATCGGGTCCTCTGGCAGAGCTTGGTACACTCCCCTTCTCTCCAGAATGGATCTCTTCCTCCGTAGACTTCACAGGCCTGGTCATTTTCTCGTTATGTTTCTCCAAATGTGTACTCACACCACCACTTCCTCACCTTACAAAACTCCCTAAGCAGTGTGGTTAGGAATTCTGTCCTCATATTGTAGATCAGAATCAAGTTCACTCTCAGTGACGGCTTCACCCACTTACTCCATCCTTCCTCAGGTCCACTCTAGGCTTCCCCGCGCCATCTCACCATTTCCCCAGGCAGCTCCCCGTCTTCACTCAGGTAGCTGCCGAAGTGGACTTCTCCCCAAGATCCTGTTTCCAAATATGAACCTTTCCACTTCTGCTGCTGAGTACCTAATGCACTTGTTCACTTTAAACAAATTTTACTGACGTTTAAACCATGTTATTTATGTGTACGTCCCATCTTTTATACCCATCTGTATTATCCAACTTAGATTCTAAGATCCCAGAAGGCAGGGTTCATGTTTGACCTTTTTGGGGCCAGAAACAGCAGAAAATCAGGAGCATGAAAGGAGTTTAGTAAATGTTGCTTAAAAGTTAATGGAAAAGGAAGTGAATTTAAAGCAAAAACAGGAGAGAGGAAGAGTCACATGAGGCCTTTAGTTTTGCTCTGGGTACTTCCATGTGAACTCATTCACCGGTGGGTCACAGCATTTCAGATCGTCCATCCCAGCATAATCATACAGATAATATTTTACATTTTCACAGTGCTTTGTGCACCCTTCTCAAGGGACGCTTGCACACATGATCACATCTGATTCTCACAATAAGAAATCCTAGGAAGGGGGCAAGGGAGGTCTGTCCTCTTTTGGCTGACGGGGACAATGAGGCTCAGAGAAGGGACCTGACATAGGGAGTTCATGACAAAGTAGAATCTGAAAATGATCATTTCTCCAACAGTACTCTCTAAAATACTGACTCAAATTTACAGCTTGTGATTCAAATTTACATTACCACTGGAACTTTGAAAATAGGAAAAAAGGAGAGACATAAAATTCAACTTTTCATTTTAGAGTGCTTCAAATAAATGGAACTCCAAAGCACACATGATGGACCTTCCTTTTAAGCGGGTCACATTGGCTGAGTGTCTGCAGACCCATGTGGGTGTGGTGCTCCCCATGACAGCTAGTCTGTCCTGAGTTTGGTGACTGGTAAAACTTTGGTGGCAAGTGTTTAGAGAAAACACGAGCAACCTGGGTGTGCTTTACAACCAACACAGGAGTGCTGGTGATCCCACGGGCCTGCTCACACCACACCACACCCCACCAGTTATTATATGTTCTCTTTGGTCTTGACATTGGTTTAAAAGTGTATCAGTTCCAAGAATACAGGTTGATCCTTTTATGCTAGTTTGAAAGGCATCACAATCGCCATTGCAGCCCCCTTTACAACAGAGGCCCATTTCTTCAATGTCCAAAGGAGGTAACTATTTTTCGTGCACTCTTGGTGCAAACACCGACCACACCGGGCAGAACGGGAGAAGATGGGCCTGCATTCAGTCCACTTGCTGTCATGTGACCTGAATTCACTGTATGGTGTCCATAATATAATTCTGCTTGGATGCCTGAAGTTCTTAATATATGTTTCAGGAAACCTGGTATTTCTGAATGACATGCAAAGAGAATCCTCCACTGTGGGTATTAAACCAAGACCGAGGGTCAGAAATCAAGCCCAGAAGGAGGCCTTCGCTCCCACGCTCTTGGAGCTTGTGAGGGCTGCCTGGAAAGGAGTCCCTTTCCCTAACTTAACATCCTTTAGAGACTTAAGCCCCAACCCTCCTCTTTCAGAGGCCGACAGATGAAGAGTGGCTGCAACCTCACGTCCCAGAAACTGCTGCCCTGAACTCTAAGGCTGTAGACAGGCTTAAGGAACCAAATGCAGAAACATGGCTCTGGAACAATGATTACACTGCAGAAATCGATTTTAGCTGTTTCAAGGTTCCTAAAGGTGACACAGATTTTGATTAGAGCCCCCCAATTCTGCCTGCTTATCTGCTGTTTAAAATATTAGCTGATCTAATAAAAAAGGACTCATAGTAGCAATGTGTAATCTAAGTCTGTTTTTCTTCTGAGTTTTACTCGGGTTCCAGAAAACGAAACAGCCCTTGTTATTCCAACCCTCGCTCTAACGTGGGGGGGGGG